ACATTATTGTATTACAATCAAAAATTTCAAAAAAGTTAATTAGTCAATTATAAATGAAAAACGCGGTGTAACATATTTAGTTACGCAATTTAAAATAAAATTAAGTACCAATCTCTTGTCGCATTATGATTACACAACTGCAAATATATTACAAAAACGTGATAATAAGTCACGTGGCCATTTCTTTACTGCGGAAATTTTATAATTAACTCTTTCACACGTATTACTCTGTACCGAACATCACTCTGAAAAAGATGATAATATACATGTTGCCTTATGTCCTTCACACCACCACAATATCTGAGAAAGTATTAAGAAAATACGTTGCGCTTTATTATACGAGGCTCTTGATATTAACCAGAGAGTTGACGGTTCCTCTCTGTTTGCTAATCTCACATCAATTATCGAATCACTATTTCGCATCCTCGTTTTTTGCTCATTCATAATATGATTCCGAGGGCCTTACGGGCCTCTTTTATAACTATATAGGAAGCCACAATCACGTGACAAATTTTTTAATTTCGTATATTAAAGACCTAATTTAACGATTTATCTCACGGCGACGTGACGATAATTTCAAAGCCTGGGAACGATCATCCACGGGAATTACAAAACGATCCAAAATACATTATAGGAGAAATTTCAAGCGTTTACCCACTTCATCCAATACGCCTGGTGCGAACGATCCACAAAGAGATCGTCACATTAACATTTTTGTTCCGCCTTATCATAAACACAACCCTCGTATTGATCCGTCCGCTCACATACGTTGGACGTCATTAAATTTTTTACATTCAGGACTATGGACTTTACATAGAGATGAACTTTTATTTGAACCAATAGATTTATTTGATATATTTCGGTTTAATTCTATTTATAAATTGCATAATAATCGTAATTAGTTTTTGTATATTTCTCTTTATATTCTTTTTTTTTTTACTTTTTTCTGGTGCGGAAACTTGGGTACTGATGTATTACTTTGATTCTATTATATAGTTTCTTTGTAATCTTTACTGGAACTTATAATATTAGTAGTAGCATTAACTACTATTGATCCGCAGTATTCCTAATGACCGAACTATACTCAATTGGCTGACCGATATCTCTATTTCCCATGCATCCAATAAATATAAAATGATTAATGATTTCAATATCGGATGTCTAATAAAAAAGAAATATCGGCCATTAAGATCTTGCATATTTTTAATCGACTGAACATAACTTACTTTATATTTCTTTCTCTGAACCTTATTACAGTATTTAGCTACAAAATCGAGCAAACAATTATTATTAATTTATGAAAAGTTTTAGCCATACATATTTTTGAATAAAAAAATTTTATTATAAATTACAGAAAAAAAAAAAAAATTGAATTATACAATCCTGTTAAAAATTTTTCTGTAAAAACTCCGTGAATATGTTACATTTACGGAAATAACATGGAATAAAAAAACACGGAATAAATATTTTAGAGGGTAAGAACTTTTTTAAAACTTTTGGAGAGGCCTTTATAGTCTACATGTTCAAATCAATAGGACCCGGAAAAGTAGAAAAAGAAAAGTGTAGATCTTTCCTTTTTTGATAATTCCAGGCAGCATTGTATATTTCTGGCCCTGAGAAGATGCGTAGAGTGAGTGAGACAGGACCCAGAAATATATATAAAAGGGTCAGGTTCGAGTTTGCGTATTTTGTACTAAAAAATCATGAAAATCTTTCCTTTTTTAGATAATTTTTGATAATGCCGGTCAGAATTTTATTTCCTATTATAGTAGATGGCTAACATTATCATAATTCCGGCTCTGAAAAAATGCGTACAGCTCATAGTAAAAAAATTTTTTCATCACCTGATCCCTATATACATATTTCTGGGTCCTAGTGAGACTATTCGTCTATTCGTCTATTCGTATATTGCTCGGATCTCTAAATCAATTATTATTCATGATAACATCAGACTTAAAAATTTTTTTCTTCGATGATAAGCTACAAGGAAAAAAAATTATTATTTTTTAATTAATACTTTTTTTACACGCATGATTCATTTTGTAAAAAATTTTTTTTTTATTTCATTTTTATCATATCCTTGTCCTGAGCCTAAATTATTAAAATATGCGAATTTCATCAATATTATTTTTTATCGTTCAATAAACAAATCTTTATAATTTATTGAATTTATTTAGCAAAAAATTTGAGGTCATGATGACGCTAGAGAAATTTGTTTAAATAATTTTTTTATAATGAAAGACTGTTATTCAAAATCATACAAATAAGGTTTTAGTTTCTAATTATATAAATGATAAAATCTCATCCTGATATATTTTATTTCTAAAGAGTAGCATTCTAAGTCTATTACAAATAAAAGTTGAAGGTACTCGCGTACGAAAAGGAACTAATATACGTGTACAGATCTTAGAATTTCATCCCAATTCAGGACCTCATCCTTCGGTCAAAATCTCATCCTGACATTCGGCAAAAATTTATTTTTATACGAATGGGAATCACATGACCAAATAAAATAAATCAATGTTTGTAATTATAGATAGGTAAGATAATGACGGTGCTCACCCTACCCTCAGCGAACGAGGCTAGGGGCACATTAAGTGGTACGTATAAATCAATAAGGATACTAGAAGTACAGTACCTAAACTATCGACAAACCACGAACTTAACACAATAACATAAAACTACAACTAAACTAATATTTAAAATAAAGAAAAAGACTAGAAATTCAAAATAGCCGAAAAAATACTGCCAAAAGTATTAATCCAGGATATCTTGAAAGTGTTAGATAATCCGAAGAGGATATATTAATATCGCAAGACATAATCAATACTAACCGTCTAATCGTCTTACAATACAAATCATTTTCATTTCGGCATCACCATTAATCCACTATTAATCCTATGTTAATTTGTATGTATTACATGTCGTAATTTTTTAAACAACTCATAATTATAATAAGCCACCGATCTTTGTTGCTGTACATTGGAATGAGTTGTATGGTTTTGTTTTTTACGCAAAAACAAAAAAAAATGGAAAAATGACACGCAAAATTTACGTAATCGTGGAGCATGTGATGTAATGATACTTAGTTAGTGGTTAGTTATAGAGTAATTTTATTTACTTCTTAGGGATGTTAAAACCCAGTTAAGTTTCAGTCCAGTCCTGGAACTTTCAGTCCAAATAAGACTAAGTCTTTATAGGACCGAGTCCCAATTTCAAATAGGAGTGAAGGTACGGTACGATTAGTAAATAAATAACCATACCGTAACGGTATCAACAAATCGTAACGTAACTATTCAAATAATACCGTCCTAGGACCGAGACCTAATTTCAGATAGGACCTTAACACTGATTTTTTGTTAGTTTTAGAAAGAATTAGGTAAGTTTTTTCGCTCATAAACACAAAGTGCATATCTCCATTTTCTAATAAAATTTATTAACTTTTGCGCATAAGAAACATTAAACCCAATTTTTAATTAAAAGAAATCTAGTTTTAATTAATTTATGTAATAAGATTTCTTTAATTAAAAAAAAATGTTTTGAACTCGATTTTAATTAAAAAAATCTATATGTATTTAATAAAAAAATTTCAGATTTAATTAAAAATAATATAACCCTATTAGACCTGATTTTAATTAGAAATTAAAGCTCTCGTCGGTTCAGTCCTAATTCAAAAATCCAGACTGAAAATTTAGATTGGCCAGTTTGGATTAAAATTTAATCTGGATTGAAATATTTGGTCCAGATTGCCAGATTGAATCGGACGGACCAGATTAAACTTATTCTAAACAATGTTTTCAACGTCTAAAAAAGTTTTTTAGCCCATTTTATTAGAGAAAACGTTGAAAAATATTCAAGAACTTTTTTTTTTAGTTCTTAATAAAAAAACTTGAAAACCGTTATTAAACTTTTTTTTTCAGTTTATTTTAATGAAAAAACATTGAAACCCGCTTTATAATAAATCAAATGTTTTTTTAATTCGTTTTAGCAAAAAAATGTTAATAAAACGTTTTTACATTTAAAACATTTTTTTTAAATCCATTTCAATAAAAAAAATGTTGAAATCGTTTTATACTTTTATCTAATTCATTTTTAATAAATAAAACGTTTTTACGTTTAAAAACTTTTTTTCTAATAAAAAAAAAAATTGAAAAATTATTTTTTTTAATCCGTGAATATTTTTTAATGTTTTATCAATCATCTTAATAAAAAAAAGTTTTCTTCAAACTGTTTTAATGACAAAACGTTAAAAACTTTTTTCTTTGATCATTTTAATGACAGTTAAAAAAAGTTTCTCTTTTAAATCGTTTTAATGATAGAAAAAAATATTTTTACCATTCTTTTTAATTAACTTAATAATAAAATTGGTTTTTTTAATTAATTTTTAAAATAATAAAAAAATGTTTTTTTTAAATTATAAAGAACTGGACTGGACCGGACCAAATTGAAGCAAAATTTTCGGTTCAGTTCCGAATTACTCTCCAACCTGCAATCCAGACCATTTAGACTATTTAGAGCTTTATATTAGAAAATAAATTGGGTATTAACTAAAACAAATATTAACTAATATTATTTATTTATACTTGGTATATATTTTTATTCCATTTAAATAAAAAACTGAGTGACATTATTTTTGTAGATTTATCAGCCCATTATCTAGCCAACTTTTTAAGCATAATGACATTCGTGCTTTTTCAGGAAACAATCTGTTTCTTGTTGGATTTATTGTGTTTTTCGCTATACTAAATACTTGCTCGCTCGGGACGCTTGTAGCCTGAATGGATAAATAATCCTTTACCATACGCACAAGTGAATCAAAAAAGACAAAATCCGTTGTGGATAATCTATATAATCTAATACTTTTTATTCATGCATAACTACTAAAAAATGGACTCGTGTCCAGGCGCAATAATGTGGCGCAGTAATGTGCAATTTAATTTTATCCGTTATTCAAGTAGCACGTAAGCGTTGACTTTTTATTTTTTTATTTATATAACAAATCATTTATTCCATTTATTTATATCTTTAATAGGCGAAGATATATTTTTAAACATTTTAATCAAGGATAATAATAAAATTACATATTATTTTCATTTATGCCAGATTCTATTTTTTTTTAATTCTTCTTTTTTTTATTTTCATTATTAAGCTTCTTTATACTATTTTCTCTTAAAAAATTCAATAAAACATATTAAATTAAAAAACTTTTTAATAAAATGCGTAACTACATAAATTTTTTTTTGTAAAAAATTGTTAAAAAACGGTAAATCATGGGACTTAAAAAAAAAATTTTTTGGAGATAATCATTTGATCGAGAAGGTGACCAAAGTACCATTTTATGGCATTCAAATTTTAAACCCATATTTATATATTATACATCATGTGACATTTTCAAAAAAAAACCCAGGTGATAATCGCCCAGGTGATATTTATTAGCAATTCCCAATAAATAATATGACATATAAAAAATAAATAAGAAAATTAAAAATTTTAATTATATCATACAATCCAAATGCTCTGAGTCATCTTTAAATAAAATTTCAGTAAGGTTGCGACTTGTATAATATGCTTGTGGATGAGATTGTACAATAGAAATATTAGTTTGTTCTTGTACTGAATTATCGCTTACTTTTACAAATTCAGACATATCACTTCTAAATTTGCTATCAATATTAGGTACATTTCTTCTATAATCTCCATCTCTATTTGTTCTATAATATTCGTCAATACATTTAATCCATTCAGAAATTTTATATTCAAGCTCTGTTATGGTTGGTCTATTGGAAGGATTTGAATCCCAACATTTTGTCATCAAATCTACATAACATTGTGGAGTATTTTTATTAATTTTAGGACGCTCACCTTCACAAATACTTAAACTAAGTTCAAGATCATGTGCTTCATGATCAAATGGGGGAATACCTGATGTAAATTCCCACATTATCATTGAAAAACTATAAATATCACTTGCTGGAGTATAAGGTTCTTTTCTTATTATTTCGGGTGCCATATAAGGTAAAACTCCATAAATTTCATTATCAATTTTATCAGAATTTTGTAAATCATTTATAGGTTTACATAACCCTAAATCAATAATAAATATCTCATTATAATCATCTGATACTAAAATATTACCATCATGAAAATCACCATGAGTTAAACTTGATTCATGAATTACTTTAAGTCCCAATATAATATTTTTCAATAATTGTAACCTATCTTGCCACTTAAATTTAATTATATTAGGTAAACATTTTCTTATATTTCCTTTTTTTGCATAACTCATTACTATTATATAGTTTAAATTATATGGATCTTGGGTAATTCCAAAGAATTGAATAAATTTTGAAAATGATTTTTTTTGACAATTATAATGATATTTCCACTATATAAATAATAAAAATAAATTATTAAATTTTGCAATAAATAAATTTATTATTAAACATAAATACAGTACCTCATCCAGAAATTTACTATTTAAACTTGATGAATTATTAAGTATTTTAAGAATAACTTCATAGCCAGTTTGAAAGCTCCATCTATTCCATTGTTGTTTATCAAAATCCCAACTATCAATTGGTCCGTCTGACCAGATAGCTTTATTGATTTCACTAAATCCTCCTTTATCATGATAATTAATACTTGATAATTTATTATAAGGTATCCATTCTAAAACTTCATAACAATTTTTAGCATTTAGTTGTGCTTCTTTAATAAATTCATCAACAAACTTATTCTTACTAGTCCATTTTAAAAAATCTTGTTGAAATCGTTTAGAATTACATTGTTGGCACCATTGGTAATCAATATATGGTTGTTTACATTCATTACATAACTCATTTTTACCAGTACTTTCTTTATTACTTTCTGCCATTTTTTGGTACCAATAAAAGGCTTTTTCTAAATTCTTTTCTATTCCTTCTCCATTTTTATAATTCATGACTAAATTATTCATTGCTTCTTTATCACCATTTTCTACTGCTTTTTGATACCAATAAAAAGCCTTTTCTAAATTCTTTTCAACTCCTTCTCCACTTTCATAACAATTGGCTAAATTATTCATTGCATTTTCATTACCATTTTCTGATGCTTTTTGATACCAATAAAAGGCTTTTTCAAAATCCTTTTCTATTCCTTCTCCATTGTAATAACATTTGGCTAAAATATACATTGCCTTTTCATCACCATTTTCTGCTGCTTTTTGAAACCAGTAAAAGGCTTTTTCTAAATTCTTTTCTGTCCCTTCTCCATTTTTATAACAAAAGGCTAAACCTCTTATTGCTTCTTCATTACCATTTTCTATTGCTTTTAGGAACCAGTAAAAGGCTTTTTCTAAATTCTTTTCTGTTCCCCTTCCATTATAATAACAAATGGCTAAATTATACATTGCTTCAACATAATTTTTTTCTACTAGTTCTTGAAGAAAATAAAAGACTTTTTCTAAATTCTTTTCTGCTCCTTCTCCATTTGTATAACAAATGGCTAAACTTCTTATTGCTTCTTTATTACCATTTTCTGCTGCTTTCTGAAACCAGTAAAAGGCTTTTTCTAAATTCATTTCTGTTCCTTCTCCATTGTAAAATTCTTTTCTGTTCCTTTTCCAAATTTATAATAATGATTGGCAAGAACAAACATTGCATTGTTATCACCATTTTCTGCTGCTCTTTGAAACCAGTAAAAGGCTTTCTCTTCATTTTTTTCTGTTCCTTCTCCATTGTTATAACAAATGGCTAAATAACTCATTGCTCCAATATGATCATTTTCTGCTGCTTTTTGATACCAGTAAAAGGCTTCTTCTAAATTCTTTTCTATTCCTTCTCCATCATAATAACATTTGGCTAAATGTAACATTGCAACTTCATTACTATATTCTGCTGCTTTTTGATACCAGTAAAAGGCTTTTTCTAAATTCTTTTCTATTCCTTCTCCAATTTTATAACAATTGGCTAAAAAAAACATTGTTGCTTCATTATCATTTTCTGCTGCTTTTTGAAACCAGTAAAAGGCTTTTTCTAAATTTTTTTCTGTTTCTTGTCCATTATAATAATAAATGGCTAAACTATTCATTGCTTCTTCATTACCATTTTCTGCTGCTTTTTGATACTAGTAAAAGGCTTTCTTTAAGTCTTTTTCAATTCCTTCTCCACTTTCATAACAAATGGCTAAATTATTCATTGCATTTTCATTACCATTTTCTGCTGCTTTTTGATACCAGTGAAAGGCTTTTTCTAAATTTTTTTCAATTCCTTCTCCATTTTCATAAAAAATGGCTAAATTATTCATTGCATTGTTATCACCATTTTCTGCTGCTCTTTGAAATCAGTAAAAGGCTTTTTCCTCATTTTTTTCTGTTCCTTCTCCATTATAATAACATTTGGCTAAATATAACACTGCAACTTCATTACCATTTTCTGCTGCTTTTTGATGCCAGTGAAAGGCTTTTTCTAAATTCTTTTCTGTTCCTTCTCCATTTTCATAACAAATGGCTAAATTATTCATTGCATCTTTATTACCATTTTCTGCTGATTTTTGAAACCAGTGAAAGGCTTTTTCTAAATTTTTTTCTGTTCCATCTCCATTGTAATAACATTTAGCTAAATTATTCATTGCATTTTCATTACCATTTTCTGCTATTTTTTGATACCAGTAAAAAATAATATAAAGAGGAATTTTGAAAAAGCTTAGCATTTTATTTATTTATTTTTTTTTTTAAGTAGTTTTTAAATACGTAAAGCTAAAGAAATTAATGACCATTATTAACTGGAATAGAAATATTTATGTCGTGCAAATATGCAAATATCATGTGCTCGGCATAATGCAGTTTAAATTAACTTAGTTTGGTTTGGATTGATGAGTAAATCTAATCATTGAACCATTATTTATTTAATAAGAGTACGTGGCCCATTTTCATCCAATTATTTGGTCCTGTGACCGATATCCCATCCAAATGATCCAATAATATGTATACATAAATTGTGGCTGAGCTTTATCATTTTAAATTATAATTCCGGTCAAAATTTTCTGGTTAAAATTGAAAATTTTGAGTTAAATGTAACATGCACTTTTGCAATATAACACAAAGTAAAGATTCCTATTGATTTATTAAAAAAATTTCTGTTCTTTGAGTTAGATCTTCAATGGAAGTTTGTTATAAAGAAAAAAAAGAATTATTCTTTTTCATTTATCTTTTTTTTATTATAATTTTGGTTGAATTTATTTTTTTCCTTTAGAATTTGGATTTGAACTCTTTCTTAATTGTATTCATAGGTAGGAGCGGATATCTTAATGTTATTTTAGTTTAATGAATGGAATTTTTTTTCTTTAAAAAATTTTTCTTTATTTTTAAGGACATTTTGGAGATTTTACTTTTAGGGACTTTACATACATACTTTATAGGTGGAGTTCTGCCTTTTTTTACTAAATTTATTTTACTTCATATAATTTTTGGGGTTAAAGAAAAAAAAGAAGTTCTGTTGTGCTTTTAAGTAAAAAAGAGCTGAAATTACTTAATAAATTTTCTTCAAAACTGAAAGAGAAATTTTAAAGTTTTCCTAAAAAAAAAAAAAAAAAAAAAAATATTAAATATTAAATAAAATTAGTTAAAAAAGACCTAACATGATTTCCTTCTAATCTTAGGTAAGAGTTTTATGAATGGGAACATTTCATTTTTCTTGCTAACTAATTTTTCGGGAATTTCATTTTATCTCTTTTAGAGATATTTAAAATTTTTCTTTTGGATTTCAGGTATGTGTGGGAGTTTTATTTTTTTTTTTATTAATTAACACATTTTTTTTGTTTAAAAATGCTTTATTGAAGCCTTTAAGTATGAGTTTTGTGAAGTGAAAGACTCTTTTATTCCATTACTAATATCTTTTTTTTTTTTTATTAAACACATGACGTTCAGAACATTTTTAAAACACAGAACTTTTTTAAGATATTCAGAACTTTTCCTAGGATGCTCAACCCTTTTTTTAAAACATTCAGGATTTCTATTGGACATTCAAAACTTTATTCAAGACACTCAGGACTTTTTTTGAACGCTCAAACCTTTTTTAGGAAACTTTTGGAATAATTAAAATAAAAAAATGAACATTAAACCCATAATTTTTATTATGAATGAAAAAAAGATTTTGTCTTAATTTGAGCTGTAACCTAAAATAAAGGCAAAAAATAAAATAGTAATAGAATAAGGATATAAACTCACCCAGGTTATAAATAAAAAAAATTTTGTGATTTTCATCTGCAAACTGTAGTCATTAACTAACAGAGCCTAAAATAAAACAAGAATGAAAGTAAGAACAGAAATAAAGTTTAAAATAAAAAAATGAGGCTTGAATTCATCCGGAATTCACCCTTACTATGATGATAAAAGAAAAATAAAAAAAGTTCACACTTCACAAAGTAAAACATATATATACCTAAAAACTCCAATGAAGCGTTAAAATACAAAAGAGATAAGACTATCTATAAAATTCATATCTAAAACCAAGATAAGACGAAAAAATAAATATTCTTAATCAAATTAGTTAAGAAAAATAAATACTAACACTTGTAAAGTTTATACTTAAAGTCAAAAATAAGTTTTAAAGCGTCTCAAAAAGATAAAAGTTCTGACGTGACACTGAATAAAAAAAAGAAATGAAATTAATTAATAAAAAAATAATTTTCACAAATAAAATCGGGAAAAAAGGATTACCTTAAAACTATACGTGCGAAGATTCTGAGATAAAGTTCTGGAGCATTCCTAAAAGTGAAAATAAAAATAATAAAAAGGCAGGACTTTTATCCATAACACATGCGAATAATTAACCTGTTACTAAAATTCATACTTAGTCTCCGAAATTTTTAAAATAAAGAAAATTTATTTTTAAAAAAAAAAAATAATCCCACTATTAAACTAAATAACCAATGACTTTCCGTCCTTACTTACAAAATACAAGTTTCAAACGCCTAAATTAAAGGAAGAAAAGTTCAATATTCAAACTCTAGGGGAAAAATATAAGTCAGTTTGAGCAAAATCTATAAAACAAGGAATCGTCTAATTTTGAGAATTGATAAAATCACAACATTCACAATTTTAACGGAAATCGAATCCTTTCAAAATATTTTTAACACTACTACTATTATTTTTTAATTATACTTTACAGAAACTTCAAGATCATAGCGATGGCTTAATGTGCAGTAACTGCATATATGTAATTTCTTTACGATTACATAATGTGGTCATTATGTATTTATAACGCAGTTACTGCGCATTAAGCCATCGCTACGATCTTGAAGTTTCTGTAAAGTATATAAATATCTTATATTAGTGTTTTATATTAATTATCGTGTTATTTAAATTTTTTTTTACAATATTGTGCTAATTAATACATTTATTGTGTTTATTTGTCAAAAAAAAAAAAATTCACATTTTTTCAAAATTTAAACAAGAAAATTTGGAAAACCTTAGACATCTATATACGTGAGCTGACCCATGAACTAAATCGTAAAAGGCCATCATTGCAATTAAAGCCCAAACTTTTTAAATTTAAACACAACAACTCACCAAATGTACCAAATATAATTAAATCCAATCTGATTTCTTGTACAAGGAGAATAATAATCTAGAAGAAAGAGAAAGGTTATCCTATGATCACTCAGATAAATAAGTTATTGAATTACTAGGCTGATATCAGAACGCTCATTCACGCTTACTCAGGCACATATACCAGATTTCATCTAGACTCACAAAGAATCCCGACAAATAAGCTTATAAGCAAATTTGGAAAACCTTAGACATATACATACGTGAGCAGACCCATGAAC